ATTGCAGACTTAGTCCAGTGGTTATTATTTGGCTGATTCCAATTTGAAAGATTGGAGTAGTTTCCTGGTCCTAGCACTAGCATGTTGGGACAGTAGCTGCAGAGTGGCAAGTGCTTAGCTTCCTGTCAAAATTAGTTATCCACAAAAGATAAAACACAATACCCAGCTTCCCAGAGTGCAATTTAATTCATAGGTTGGCAACTTTCAAACTTAAGAAACTCTGATCTCAGAGTGAGGAAAGGATAGCTGCAGACATGTGTGTGTGTGTGTGTGTGTGTGTATTGTGTCTGTCTTTTTCTCTGCCTCTCTGTCTTACTGCTTCATTTCACTCTCCAAATTGCAATGGCAGTGTGGATGCTCAGTCCATTCTTCATCCACTGCAGCCAGGAGTTTTCTAAACTGCAAATCTGATCATGTTACTGTTGTGCCAAAATTCAGTGAATGGCTTCCCGTGGCTCTTAGGATAAAATTCAAATTCTTTTGCATGGCCTACAAGCCCTGCATGGTCTGGGCCTTGCAAACCTCCCTCCATCTCTGTGCTCCAGCAGTGCTGAACTCCTTCCAGTTGTTTATTTACACCAAGTACTCTCTTACTTCCAGACCTTCACACATCCTGTGCCCATTGCTTGGGACAGTCTTCCCTTCCCACTCTTTTATAGGCTTATTTGATCCTGGCTAAATTCTACTCTTTCTTTAGGGCTCAACATAAATACCACTTATTCAAGAGGCTCTCCATGATCCCTTATGCTGGGCTAAGTTCCCTTAATGATCGGTTAGGGCTTTGAACTTTGTTGTAATACCACGTTTTTTTGGCATTATGTGTTTAATTAGCTGTCCTCTTTCTCTATTCAAACTATAAGCTCTGTGAAGGCAAGAAACATGTTTGCTTCCCTCAGCACCTTTCTTGACATGACAGAAAAAATGTTTGCAGCATCAACGAATGGATGAAATAAAATAAAATAACTTGCTGTTCCCTGCCTTAGATGACAGGGCTAATACAATCGTATAATTGAAATACTTTCAACAATAAAGATAAATTAAAACAGAAAAGCTCTTGGAAATCATCTGGCTCACCTTCTATTTTATAGTTGGGGAAACTAAGGTTCAGAAAGATGAGCTAATTAGTGACCAAGCTGAGATTTTAAACCTAGGTGTCTTTATTTCCAGCTCTTTTTTCTCTTGTACTGTACCACACTGAGTATTGAAAGGTGATTTTATCACCATAGCAAGGCTCAGAGTTAGTACTGCCTCCAGCAGATTAAAAACAACAACAACAAAAAATAAGCTAAGGTAATTTTTCTAGTTTTCCTGAGAGTTTCAGTATGGTATGTAGTGGCTCTTACTTGGCTCTGGAGTAGGGATGGGGAAATGAGAGTGGGTTGTAAGTGTATTCATTACTGTCTATTCTCAATTATATAAGTATAATACAGATATAGCCTCATTTTAGCCATTAACAACATACACGTAAGTGCTCTCTGAAAATACTATTTGGTAATGATTGTATTTAATAACCCAGCTTTTTACCAGAGAGTTTTGTCCCCTTTTCCCTTCTTGTGCTTTTAAATTTGCACAGAGAGAGGATGCCAGGAAGAAGCAGTCACATACCATTTTCCCTGCCCCAAATATTCCTCCTGCCCTCCCCCCAAAACCATATGCCTGAAATTTCACAGTCAGAAATGTACTCTTTGACAAAATATCATTTAATCTTTTCAGTTTTATTTGTAAATATCAGTCCACTTAGACAAGGAGACGTAAGGGTAAAATCACTATAGAGAGTGTATCAGGGACTTTCATGGGGGTGGGTAGGGGGGAACAAAGGTTGGGGACACCTAAAAGACAAAAAGAAAAGATGAGTATAAGATTGAGGGTAAGCTAGAATTCTTTATTCCACCATTTTGATCAGGATTGGTTTAAAATCAGAATTTCCAGGGCGACTTTCTCTTTTCTGGGTTTCACTAACAAACCAAAATAATCTCAGACCTTTCACCCTCCTTCCTGCTTCATAGAAGCTTGTCCCTTGGACTCCCTTCTCAATACTCCAAATTTAACAAGATGAAAAGTAAGCCATTACTTCCTCCCCACCCCACCCTCAGCAGACATTCTTTCAGCCTCTCTGTCTGGCCATCAACCCGTTATTTACTACAACTTTCTCCCCTTCTCAGAGCACATTGAGCCTATCCCCAGCCCTATCACTTCCTTCTCCATTGTAGCCTTCCCCATGTATCTGGTTTCCGTCCTGCTGCTGCCACCCTCACCCACATTAAGGCCCCTTTTACCATGCCTCTGGCTCTTCCTGTAATAGCTTCCTAGCTGGTCTCCCTGACTTTAGTCTCTCTTGTTCTTCAATCCAGCTTGTGAAGTTTGCCATATTCATCTTCCTGAACAAGGTTTTCATCAAATCCCTCTCCAACTCCTGCACCCATACTGCCTTTTGTATTTTCTCCAAATGCCTTCATTTGGCTCTTAGGGACTCTCACCTTCTGCCCTCATTTTTCTAGCTACCCTCTCTCCCCCACTTCATCAACCTCATTTCTCATTTCTCATTATTTCTTAACAGAGCTGTTCTCTTCAGCCAAGCTAATCTGCTTACCACCACCCCCATCTGCAATTTGCTCCTTTCTACCTCTTATTCTTTTGTATGTACTGTTCTTTCTCCTTGAAAAGCCTTTACCCTCTCAGCTTTAGGAAACTGCATCCTCAACCTTCTTAACAAGCTCCTTAAGATTTAACTTTTCCAGGAAGCCTTTCTGGATTAAGTTGATCAGCTTAGTTTTTTTTTGTCTGAACCTTATGAAATTGTCAATATTTAACCATTTTGACCCATACAAACAGCAATTTCATATGGTTCAATGTAAAACACTCCCTCCAACTTTTGACTATTCAATTTATATTATTAATATGTATTTATTTATGTATTGCCCTCCCCCAAAATTTCCTAGTCTCTGACTGCTGTAACACTGAAAGCAGAAATAACATATTTTTTACCTTGATGGAGCCTGAAATGGTGCAGAGCACACCACTGGTGGTCAAATTTGGCTTTTAATAGATTCATTTTCCTGCACTATATAGTGGGCCTCATCACTATCTCTCTTGTATTGCAGTTAGGGGTACACATGTCTATTTTTAAAAATATATCTTTATTGATTTCAGAGAGAGGAAAGGAGAGAGATATAGAAACATCAATGATGAGAGAGTCATTGATTGGCTGCCTCCTGCACAGCCCCTGGCTGGGGATGGAGCCTGCAACCCAGGCATGTGCCCTGATTGGGAATTGAACCCCAATAGCCTGGATCCTAGGTCGATGTTCAACAGCTGAGACATCGGGCTGGGCCACACATCTATCTTACTGATCTGTGAACTCTGCAAGGGCAAAATCAAGGCCTAATTTATCTCTGGTACATCACCTGTACCAAGCACCCTGCCTGATACATAGTAGAGCCTCAATAAATATTTGCAGAACTGAGTTGAAGGATTTGCTGCACCTTTTTGCTCTTCAAAGAACAGAGGAGTCCTGGGGACCCTCTAATCTTTTTAGTGAAGACTTGGAGAAACCAACCTATGAATCCCTGAGCTCCAGCACAATCAAATTACTAGACACATATAGATCTTATCAAACAGCAAATCCATGGCAACCAGTCTGACAGTGAACTCGCCTTTCCCTGGAAGGCTGCCAACTGCTACTGGCCAGCTCAAGAGAGCAAGCAAGCAAGTGCTAGATAGTTTTTCTACTTTGAGCTTCTCTGCCCTTCCTCACATCTGTTGTGTCTGGCCTGCATGATCATGGGGTGGGGAAAGGAGTATGCTTTTTATGTGTGTAATTCCTTAGGTTCATAGATTCAGATCCTAGGAAGGCACTAGCATGCTGGTTTATCTAATACTAATATAAAGCAGTCAATGAAATAGCACCCTTGGAGGCTTTGAGGGCATTGCACAAGCTGTCAGTTAATCTTCCCTGCATTCATTACACAATGCTTTCTTTTCAGAGTTACTATGGATGACCCCTGAACTGCTGAGAGCCCCCCAGGGCAGCAGGTTAGGTCCTTTTGCAGGAGATGTCTATAGCTTTGCCATCATCATGCAAGAAGTGATGGTCTGGGGAACCCTATTCTGCATGATGGATCTGCCTGCTGGAGGTGAGAGAAGGGCACCAGGGGCTCAGCATGACCCAGATTATCAAGCCAACCTAGGCTGTTGTAATTTGCCAGAAGAGTGAACACAGCTATGCTTTTGTGCTAACTGCCTGCCAGTCTGCAAGCAGCCCATGTTGTGTGCAGGTAGGACTTGGGGACAAGCAGCTTTAGGTATTTGGTAGAAATTCCTCCAACCAAGAAGCTGATCCTTTTCCAAACTGACATAAGCCAAGGGCCTACAGGACCTGTATCAGTCCTTTATTTTAGAAGCCCCCTATACTCTTCTGAGACACTCCCTGCCAGGTTTTTAAGTATCTCTCATGATGCTCCTGGATGGCAAGTTCCTCCTATGCATTCCCTGTGACATACCACAAACTTTCATCTTCATCTCCCATTGGCCATCAGCCAAATGAATGATAAAAACAGTGGGCAAAAGTTTGAGGGGAAGAGGATATTTGCATATTCTAAAAGTATCAACTCACTAGATACTAATTACAAGTGGGAAAATATTAACTTTAGTAGTGAAAGATCCTGCAGACGCCACCTTAGCTTAGACATCGGTATCATGTAACCCTGACATGTTGCATTCAGAAGGGCAAAACACCACCTCTGGGGTATTCTTGTCAAAAATGTATAGCCTCAATATAACTATGGGAAAATACCAGACCTACTCCAATTGAAAGGCATTCTGCAAGATAACTGGCCAATACTTATCAAAAGTATCAAAGTCATAAAAGACAGGGAAAGAATGAGGAACTGTCACAGATTGGAGGAGACTGAGAAACAACAATTAAATCCAATATGGGATCTTGATTTGGAATGTTGACAGAAAAAGAATATTAGGGGGAAACTGATGAAACTAAACACAAAAAGACTCTAGATTAGTAATAGTATTGTACCAATATTCATTTCCTTTGTACTATGGTGTATAAGTTGCTAACATTAGGGGAAGCTGAGTGAAGGGTACATAGGCAATTTTACTATTTTTACAACTTTTCTGGAAGTCTAAATTTATTTCAAAATAAAGGATTTAAAAAATGCAAACAAACAAAACAAAACCCCCAAAATACTTAGCTATTCTTTGCCCTACTCAGAGTCCCATATAATTCCTCTACTCAAAGCTCCCCAACTGTTCCCCATCATTTGTTAAATGAAGCACATGTTTCTCACATAACATACAATGTTCTTCACAATCTGACTCCTAACCACCTCTCTAGGCCTGTCTTCTGTGACTCCCCACACTCCTCCTAAACTCCATGACTGGCAGTGCCCTGAAAGGCTTGTGGCCTCTCCCATCTCTGTGTCTTCACACAGGCTGTTCATAGCACCTGGAATGACCTCACCTTCCCCCCACCTTGCCTCAGCTAAATTGTGTCACCCGCTCTTGTAAGCCTTCTCTGACCTCTTCAGTGTGAGTCAAGTACCCCCTCTGCGTTTACCTGTGTGTTTGTCTGCTAGAGCACTTATATTGTTGGTCATTGTTTATTTCTTTAATTGGACTGTGAGCTCCTCAAGGGTGTGAGTCATGTTTGACCTAAGTAGAGAGGTGACCCATTCAACTTGATGGTCTTCTGGGAAAGGAACAAGGACTTCCTGTGCTAGAGAGTGGATGGGGCAGTTGTGTCCCAAGGGCTTGATTCACATTAACTCTATTGCACTGAGACAGTAGGGTGCTGTGTTGGAAAAACTATTACTGGTATAAGCAAACCTGGGTTATAAGAGCAGAAGGTGTGATGTCACAGGGAACTAAGAAGTCAGAAGCAACAGCTAAAATTCTTTCATGGGGCAAGGGACATTTATTACAGTCTGAAGCAACACTGTTGTCTTGTTATAGCCAATGGGAAGGGCACACTGGTGGGGCAAGCAAGGTTTGGTTCATGATGAGGATGTTAGGGTTGGTGTTGTGGACAGGGGACTAAGAATAAGAAATGAGCTGAGATAAGAATAAGAAATGAGAAATGAGATAGGGCTTGGATTTTATCTTGTGGGTTATAAGAAGTCAAGAATGGGTTTTAGGCAAGAAAGTGACATGACTAAATTCATGTTTTAGGAATGGTTTGGAGAAGATTAGGCTGGAAGCAGAGACCAATTTGAGAATAATGCAGGTTGCTGGAGAATATTGAAGGCTAACCATTTTTTCCTACTTCTAGGGAGTTTTCTCCCTTTGTAAAAATATCACTCTGACTGATCTAGACCTCTGGTCACTAATGGCTGTTGTTCCTGAATTGGGAGTTTAAAACCCCCAGTTGAGGTCTGAGACATTTGCAAGAAGGACAATGGGGTAGACTGAGATTACCTGGGATCAAATTTGAATCCATGTGGCTTTGAGTAGTTACTTATTCTCTCTGTGCCTCAGTTTTCCCCTTTGAGAAATAAAGAGTTCCTACCTCATCTGTCTGTAATGAGAACCAAGTGAAACAATGCATGCAAAGTGCTCATTCAGGCCATAATCTGATAAATGTTCCACCAAAGGTGGACCTCAAGGACAGTCAGCCAGGAAGATACCAATGAGGTCCTGAACTATCTACTAGATTTCTTAATTCCCTTTCTCTAGGAGCCAAGCAGGGCCTATAGCTTGGACCTGAGTTGGGCTTGGGCCTTCAGGGGGTGGGATGGTAATTGTGTCTAGTGTGGGGATTGGAAGACTTAGATGATTTGGGGATGAGTGAAAGGAGTCAGATCATTGGAGTTGTAGTTTTATAATTGACATCAGATAGGGCTCATCTAAAACCAAGCAGAAGCAGAATAAAGCTGCGCCTAAATGATACCAGTAACTCAATTGATTAATTTTTTACCCTGTCCTCAATTGACTGATGTAATTTTTGCTCAGATACAATTTATATTCATGTCACTTAAGCAGAAAGCAAGGAGATGGGCTTTCTGTGATTTCTCCTGGCCAACACCATTCTTAGCTAAAACTCACTTTTTTTCCTTTTTTTTTTTTTTGCTAAATCTTCATTGCTTTTCCCATGATTTGTACACCTTTCTCTTCTTTCTTCTGGACAGAAATCATAGACACACTTAAGAAGCCTCATCCTGTGTACAGACCATTGGTTCCTCCTGAGCACACCCCTCCAGAGTGTCTCCAACTGCTGAAGAAGTGCTGGGCTGAGGCTGCAGAACAACAGCCAACTTTTGATAAAATATTTACCAGGTAAGGACTATGTGAATCTTAGCATTGCCCAGCAGCCATCCTAAACCCAGCCTACCCCATACTAACTCCTTGGGTTCTTGTCATGTGTGGGAGGAACCTCTAGCAGGAGCAAAAGGCACTCCTTTGGGTGAAGAAGCATGAAGGTGACTACTTGGAGGCTTTTGATGCTGGAACATCCCAGCATATCCTCTAAGAGCACAGGCATTATTTTTTTGTGCTCTTCTGTATCTGAACCTCTGTGCCAGACCATCTATAATCTGACCTAACCAACCTTTCAATGTTGGAATTGAACCATGAGGCATTTGCAAAGCACTAGTATTGAGACTGTTACAAGCTCATTATCATGGAATAGATAGGGATCTTCATACAGACATGATTGTTTTGAAGATCACAGAGAACTCTGATGAGTATACTATTTAAGCAATGCTGGGTTGTTTTTGGAGGTCAAGAAAGGGTGTTCAAGATGGAAGAAAGTGGAAATAAAGCAGGAGATTCCTTATGTTCCTAGGGATTGACTTGAGGTAATAGAGTACCTGAAAAGTGATAAACTCTTTCTTTAAAATATAGAATTTTTAAAAAGGCTGATTATTTCTTTAGAGTGGGAAACTAAAAGAGAGAAATGAGAAAAAAACAGAGTCCTACTAAGAGATCTAGGATATGGTTTCTATGTTGGAGCAGGCAGTTTAGGGCTTTGTTGAAACTATAGGATACTGAAGCTCGGGGTACTCTCTGTGAGTGCTGTGTTAGCTTTGGTGAAGAGGCTTTTGAGCTTGACTGGAGTTCAGCACTGAGATACTTTGTGAGTAGCAGATATCTGAGGTGGGATAAAAAAGAGTTGGATTGAAAGCATTAGGGGACCTGAATATGAAGTCATCCGTGTCCCCAGCTAACAATGCCTCCATTAGCTTGGCTACATTTCTTGAGGACACTCAAACAGGTGTTCAATAGTATGTAAAGGACAAAAGACCACGAAGGTCAAATTTCTAAAAATTCCCCATGAGGCAAGAGAAAAACATTTGCCCTGTGTTGATGCTAGAGATGTTATTTCAGAAGACAGAATAGAAGTCAGTGATAGAAGGAGTTGTACATCATAGGACCTTCAAAGAAGACATAGCTGGAGCTGTCCTAACTGAAATGCTTCAGTGGAAGTTTAGACTGTCTGAAAGACAAGGGTAGGCTCTCAACTCCCTGTAGCTAATAACACATAAATGGAGAGAAGAGCATGAGGCTCCCTGGGTTAGGGAATAGGGGGAGCCCAAAGCATCTGATCTTGCTACTGAGATTATTGGCCAGGCCTTGGCGGACCTGTAGATGTGGACCAGGCTCAGAAGAAAACTCCTAGTCTTGGCCTTGGGGTACTGAGTGCTAAGTTGTGGATGTGTGGCCCAGCCATATAGGAGGGTTCATTGGGACAGATTCCTAGATATCTGCCCAGCAAAACTACCACCAGTATTTTTGTCATGAACACAGCCTTGTGCATGCTAGATACTGCAGCAAGGAGGGACTACCCCCTCATGATTCCAATGCTATGCCAAGCTTCCCATCTCTGTAGATGGAAAGGGTCTTAGGAAGGTGTATTGAAAATCTGTAGTATACAACCACTTCTAAAGGATCAGGGCATAGAATGGGACAAGACCAGTTGAATTTCTACATTACCTTGATTAATGTGAAGGGTAGGTGATAAGGAACACCATTATTTCTGGATTCCATGGGAAGAAGTAGGGTTAGATCTTACCATGTAGATCTTGGGTCATATTTAAGAAGTCAAGGAACTCTCCACTGCCAAAGAACTGGCAATACAGCAGCATTAGAAGATGAGGATGATTTAGTAGATAGATGACCCAGAAGGGTAAAACAGCATTACCTGCTCTCTTTCCCCTTAAACACTCAAAACTGGCCTGGGCTAAAGAACAAATCCTATTGCCTTAGAAATGGCTACTATTCATGCGTTAGTATCTTAGAATTGAAGGACCCTGCCCAGAACGCCTTTGCTCGGACTTGAAAGAAACAGAAAGATAAGGGAACATCTACTCAAAGCAAAAGAGCCCTGTGAATGGACCAGGGTGACAATGAGGGTGGGTGGTGACTTTTGCTGTTTTTACCTGGGTTTACCTCCCCTGTCCTGGCATTTTAAAGGAAGGGGTGTTTGATAAGGGGTCCTGGTCCATTATTGCTGAGTTTGGGAAGTAAGGATTCCTTGGCTCCTCTTTCTATTTTACTTCCAGTTTAAAGCTTTCAATAAAGGGGGAAAGACCAATATCATTAATTCTATGCTTCGAATGTTGGAACAATATTCTAGAAACTTGGAAGATCTGATCTGGGAGTGGACTGAAGAGCTGGAAATTGAAAAACAGAAAACAATAAAGCTTCTAACACAGATGCTACCACCATATGTGTGAACACCTGAGGAGTGTGAATCATTGTAACAGTGTGTTCTCTTAAAAATAGAAAAAAAAAAAAACAACCACCATCAACTAACTGCTCTGTCTCTGTGTCCTGCATCCTTTCTACTCCCAGTAGGTTTGAGTCACACGCTCAAATCAAAGAAGAATTGGAAATCAAGGGAGCAGAGCACACTTCCTAATTTTTCACTACCTGTGGATCATGCTGATCATTTAAGTTTTGGTGCCTCGGCTTTTCTATGTGACATTTCATGACTTTGCCTGGTAGTTGACCAATTAAAAGGAAGCAGTTCTTTGAACTCCTAGAGGAAAGTACTAGGGTTGTTTTTCATCCCTTAGTTGAAAGCTTTATCTGTTACTAGAATTTCCAAAATTTCCCAGGCACTTTATTCTGCTGTAACATGATCTTCTAGGAGATAATTGGGGAAACTAGTTTCTTGCAAAGGCATCCACCTGGGGAATTTCCCCAAGGGCATGGAGTGCTGAGGAAGAAGGATAGAGAGCTGAAAAAACTCCGCAAAGACACAGACCAGGGCTGTCTGTTCAGTGCTGTATTCCAGCACCTAGCACAGTGCTTGGCATGTTGTAAGCACTTAATATATATTTGTAGAATAAATGAAAGAATTAATGTTTTCATCCAGGTGATATTTTCTTCTTCATCATTTAACTTGACAGTGATTTTTGGAGAAACTGTGTTCTAACAGATGTGTGTGTGGCATAGTGGGAGCCCTGTGTCCTTTGAGGAATAGCTGTGTCTGCTTTTCAGATCAGTTGTCAAATCACTCAAAAAAGGCTGCACGGTCAAACCCTGAGGGTTTTGACTTGGTCACCTTGTACTTCAGTGACATTGTGGGTTTCACCACTGTCTCAGCCATGAGTGAGCCCATTGAGATTGTGGATATTTTCAATGACCTGTACACAGTCTTTGATGCCATCATTTGCAGTCATCATGTCCACAAGGTAAGTTAGCACAGAAATAAATTCCAGAGAGAAATTTTTATATGAGGCTCATCTATGTGTACTTCAAAATTGAAGGATGCAATTTTATTAAATGTTGTTATTTAGGAATTAAAATTTAAATACTAAATTTAAAATTTTCCATTGGCATCTCATTGGAAATGAAAGCCAGAGATTGCTGGTCAGATTTCCTTTGAGCTATTTTCTAGAACTGGGACTAAGAAGAGGTTGAGTCTAAAAGTGTTATTGCACTTCAGTGGCTGACTACTCACAGAGTAGGTGGTATCATGCTAGGCACTGAAAGGGATACAGAAGAAGTGTTGGTGTTTTGCCTGTAGTTGGTGACTGCTACAGAATTCATCTTGGTAAAGTTTGTGTAGATATACATGCTGTTGACATTTGGCTTCCTATTTAGGTACCATTTTTATACAGGAGAGAATTCTAGCATTACTCATGTCGAAGAAGTATTAGACTTGAGGCTCTTAGGGATTGCTACAGGGGATTGCTTCAGCCCACCTATTGGTCTGAAGTCTGGGAAGTAATGAATTGTGAGGTTGCAATCCCCTGCTCCATCCGACCTTTCCCAACCCCTCCAGCCTGTCAATTTCTACTCTTTCTATCAAAGGTTGCAGAAGATGAATAGAGAATAGATGACTTCATTCACTCATTTTGGTGTGATGCTTCCTTACACTTGGTTTTATGTGTTATCTTGTCTCTGAGCAGAAACTTGCTAGAAATTTCATAGCTGTGCAGGGATGTGTCCACATTGTCTGCAACATGGATACTTGTCTTATTGATGGAGAAAGATGCCCCAGGTATCCCAAACTTTAGACAGCTCCTCTGTCCCAGGAACCAAGGCAGAGCTGGAGAATGAGTAGCTCAATTCATTGGATCCTTCACAGTAGTCTGAAATATTCCAACTTTTAAATCACACAGGACAGTGTGTTTATCTCAGATTAGACAGGGCCCTTTCAGATCAGGCAGAGAGCCTCAGGGCTAGGCAAAGCCATCTAAATAGGGCTCACAAATAGACATCATACCTGTCAATCAGCAGGACCTGCAAATTAATCAAGAAGCACACATGGAGACTACGAAGGAGGAAAAATCCATGGAATCAGACTACCTGTCTCAACTTGTTGAACTCAAGCAGCCTGAAGAGAAAAACAAATCACCAAAAGCTAATTCAGTTGAAACTAAAATCAAAGATGACTTGGCATGAGCAGTAACACAGCCACTGGTTTAATCAATCCAGGTGATACTATTCAGACAAATGTTGGGGATCTTAGGGATGAGGTCATTAGGTATTTTGGTACTTTACGGCTACAGTAAGGAGTTAGTGGGCTGTTTCCAAGAGGGAACAGGGCTTTGTGAATCCAAAATGGAATCTAATTTTTTTAGTCCTAAACACAGTACAAAGGAAAAATACTGAGCCAGCAGTGATTCACCAAACCTATTTGTGTTTTCATTTTTTTAACCTGTAAAATTGGAATCACTTCCTCTGGCACTTGATAATCTGAAATGGTAGTGAGAAGGCTACTGCAGAATTACAAAGTGAGTGATTTGTTTTCAGTTTTAATTCTCCTGCTACCACCTCATCTCAACCAGACCCTTTTCTATACATCCTCTTTCCTTTCTCTGTCCTTTTGCTGACTTATGCAACCGACAGTTTCCCACAGCAGTCCCACACCAAGATCAGGCAGTGCTCCCTGCCATTCTAATCTTCTTATCCATATCCTTAGGAACTCCTGTGTGACTGACTCAAAGCTGAAGGGTCAACCACCAGTCTCTGATAATGACCAGCCAGTGATTTTCACCCTCCTATATAGTATTTGCGTATTACCCGTTGCCTCTCTCTGTGTAGACAGGCATGCTTATTTGAGGGCAGGGATCCTTTTCTCAAAGTGCACAGGTAAGGGAGAACCTGGTTGGAAGCATGCTGAGGTATAAAGTCCCATAAGTGCAAAATATCATTAGTTATTGGCTATATAGGAAATCATGATGAGAGGCCTATTGCTGATTATTAAACTTTCTCTGGAGCTTAGTTCTAAGGCTCCTTACAAGACATCATCTTGGTGATGATGACAGTGATGATGATGAAGAGACAGTGTGCACTTATCATCCACCAGGCAGGTTTTAAGTGCTTTGATATGTATTAAGATTTTAGTTCTTAGAAAACTCTATGAGGTAGGTACTGTCATAATTCCTATTTTACAGATAAGTACAGGATACTGAAGCACAGAGAGGTTAAGTGCCCTGCCCAAGGCCACACAGTTTATAAATTATACATCTGGGATTCTAACCAGGACAACACCACTTCACAGTTTCATGCTCTTAACCATTGTACTCATGAGTACTGTTCTCTAGGAAAACATGGATTTAAACTGCATCCAAACTTTTACTAGTGGAGTTGGACTGGCAGATTTCATAGAAGTCTTTTCAGCTTACTTATCTTTTGGATTTACTTGAAAAGCTCCAACTTACTGGTCACCTAAAAGAGTGAGCACACTTCTGTGGGGAAGATGAGGAGCACAGATTTGCCTTTATTTACATGTTTACAGTTGTAACTGCCCCTTGCAAAGCAGTTGAGGCTTAGTAGTGCTGCCCCTTAAGTGGTAGCACTAGAAGAGGAGGAGGTAGCTGGTGATAAAAGACCCAGTTTTCATACCCATTGGGACTGCAAAACAAATTTTATCATATTAGCAAGGCAAAACAGAAAGAATGAACTTTTCTACCTCCTTTCTTTCCCTTTTCCTATACTTGCATTAAGGTTGCCTTAGCTCATTTACCTGAAATCATCTAGGGAAATGCTTGGTGGGGGAGTACCATGTGCACCTTTTCCTAGGGTGCTTTCTCATGGATACACACAGACACTCTCAGAATCTACCCTTTTCATTTTCCCAGGAACTGTTTGGAGCCTGATAATTCTCTAGGGCCAGCCAGGAGCCTGCAAAGTAGTTGCACTTATTTCAGAATTTATCAGTGTGGGACCTGACATCAGTAATTTTATATAT